TTTCTTCTTCTTCTTCTTCTTCTTCTTCTTCCTTCTCCTTTTTCTTCTTTCTATTATTTATCTTCTCTTTTTCTTTTCTATTACTTATTATATTCTCCTTCTTCTCCTGCTCTCTCGTCATGGGCTACAACACTCGCCGCAAGTCGCTCTCGCTGCCGTCGCTGGGCATCCACATCCCTTGCTCTGGTCGCCGCACCTCCAACACTACAACCACTTCTACTACAACTTCTACTACAGCTACATCCACGAGTAGTAGTAATAGTAGTAGTAATACGAACGGGATAAAGACGGCCATGGCAGCGCCGTCCTCGCCTGTGTCGAAGAAGCAGAAGAGAGCGCATGAGGCGGACGGCGGGCTGGTCGCGGACAGGCAGCAGCAGCAGCAGCAGCAGCAGCAGCAGACAGAGAGACTCACGCCGCCCCCGTCGCCATCTCAGGATACGCAGGAGAATGCTCAAGCGAATGCTCAAGTGAATACGCAGAAGAACAAGATAGACACCGACGGGATAGCGGATGACATCGTCGTCGCCGTCATCCAGCAGCTCGAAAAGACCGGCAACAGGCCGCATCTCATCAAGGAGCTTGCCCAGGTCCTCTCCGCCACCACCGACTCCATCGCCAAGTAGGTCCACGACTTCACTACATCTATACATCTATATCTATATATACTAATCAAGAGACAGTTCTGCGAATGCGGCGGCTTTGATATCCTCCAGGCTGTCGCTCTACCTCAAGCGGCCGTGGACTCCCCTCGCGCCGTGTCCCATCGCCAAAGAGCTCATCCCCGTCCACCCGCGCAAGGTCTTCTTCTACCTGACCAACACCCCCCGGCAGCCGCTGCCAGCCTCCTCCCAGGACATCCTCTCGCCGGCGCCCTCGCCTTCAGTCGAGAAAGAAGTCACTCCCTGTCCGTCTCTCTCGCTGCCGGACCTCGACCGGGATGGAGAGGACGACGACGAGGAGGACAGGTCCAGGATGAGCCTCAGTCCAGAGGTCGACCTCGACTACAGCCTCGACATGATGATGGCCTCAGACTCCTTTGCCTCTTCTCTGCCCCTACGACAGCAGCAGCACTCGCACTCCCACGGCCACCGCATCTCGCACAACCACCGGGCTGCCTCGCCGCCTCTCGAAGGTGACGAGCGCGAGTTCACCCTCACCGCCAGCATGGTCAGGGAGCGCACGACCGGTGACGACGGCCAGGCAGGCAAGTTGCGCGGTCTCTTGCTTGATTCGCCGCCAGCCTCGCTCGATCTCCAGGTCGACATGGACGCCTCTCCTTATCTCGACGGCCAGGCTGCCTCCGACCAGGGCGAGTATGGCCACCACCAGTATGACGACTACTTTAGCAGGCCCATCGACATCCCTACTGCTACTACTACCACCACGTCAGCTGCGTCGGCTGCGTCTACTTCTACCTCTCCATCCGAGGCTCCCGAGATGCTGTATAGCACCTCGCCTTCGCCCTCCGTCGCTTCCGAGATCTCCTTCTCCTCCCTCACCACCACCGCCACCTCGGACTGCGACTCGGACGAAGACGTCAAGCCTGCCACCGCCCGTCTGCGCGCCCACAAGAGAACATACGACATGTCCTTCCCCCTGGACGTCATCGATCTCGACCCCCGGAAGCAGTACAGCCAGCTCTCGCTCGACTGCGCATTCAGCTTCTCCCTCGACTCCTGGGCCGACTTTCGCAGCCCCGAGACGGTAGAAGTCGACGAACTCGACGCCATCTTCGCCGACATCTAGTCCCTACCCTCACTACTCCTATCTCTCCCATCTTACTCTCCCACCTTACTCTTCTCTAACCTCCTCTTGATATCCATATACATCTTTTAACTGTACTTTACCCTCCCTGTATATATATACCTCCTCCACCCCGTCCCTGTTTCCCTGCTTTGCTCTTCTTTGCTCATGTACTATCTATCTAATACTGCACGGCGTACGGCACGAGTCTACTACTAACCCATTCCCCCCTTTCATCCACACACACACACACACACACGACGGGGTGCATCTCTTCCTATTTCTATCAGTTTATTCTTTTCCTTTCTTCTTCCATGTTTTACTTACCATCTCATCTCTTACCTTACACTCGTTATGACTTCCACGGTGTCACGGCGCTCTTCTTCCTTTCCTCCTTTTTCTTTCCAGCGGCTCGGTGTTTATTTGATGTCCAGCATGTCTTTCCATTTACTGCTTCTACTCTTATCTATCCTATATCTACTACTTACAACAAAGCCTGCTCCATGCCTGGCCGCAGAGCAGAGAAAACCAGACTCCCCAGCAACGAAACAAAAAAAAAGAAAGAAAGAACCTACTCCGCTTCTCTCTACCTCTTCTTCTTCCTCTTCTTCTCTTCTTCTTTCAGCGTGTCTATCTTGTTTCATTTCGACTGCGCCGCTTCGTTGAGAAAAAAAAAAGTGTCCCCCTTTCTTTGTCCGGCCCAGTATCGATGTATCTCATTAGCTTAGCTAGCTAGCTACTCCTAGATTGACCCCTATGAAAAGAAATATACTACATCTTACATCTTACATCTTACATCCTACATCTCATGTAGCTAAGCAAGACCAGCGGGAAGGAAAGCCAGACTATTTGCACATCGTCCTTTTTTACTAGCAAGCCATGCTTCCTTTTTATTCATCGCTCTGCTCACTTTCTTTCGTACATCTAGATAGATTTCAACAGCTTGAACTAACTTGCTTTTGATATTTCGTCAAATCGTAACTTTGCCTCCCTTTTCTTGCCCCGGATTCCCCGTCAAAAAGTTGGCTGCACGGTTGACGGCAGCGTGCTTGATAGACATCAAGACAAGTTTCAACACTGCCTGTTACGCTCAGTTGCGTCTCCTGGTGGCGGGTGGCGGGTGGCGCATTCGGGCGGATGAGCAGTTAGTTTGTTTGGATTACGGTCCGTCCAGGCCAGTCCAGTCCAGGGTTCAATAATAGTACTATCCGTAATATTCGTCTCTCCAGCTTGATGGGCCAGCAGCTTGCTTCACTTTCACTCAACGCTCGCGGCTGGGTATCGATTGGGCCTGGGATGGCGGCGGCGGCGGCGGAGGCAGTGGATGTTCCATGCGCGCCGGCTGTGGGTGTTGGTGTAGATGCTTCTGGTATGATGCTGGAACGCGGCTCTGGCTGCGAGGAGGAGCAGGGTCAGCTTCCCCGTCTTCTCGCTCGCCATCTTCCAGCTCCTCGCCCTCTTCTAGCTCCCCTTCATCGGCCTCTCCTTCTTCCTTTTCCGCCTCCTCCTGTTTCTGCTGTGACGAGTTGGCAGACGACAGGTTCAGATTCGACGCCGCGTTCGTGAAAGAGTTGCTGACCTGTCGGCCACCAGAGTTCGTCGTAGCATTAGCATTAGCATTAGCCGTGGCCGTAGTAGCTGTAGCTGTAGCTGTAGCTGTAGATGTAGATGTAGGGTTTGCAGCCGGTGACCCTGACACAGACACCGCTGATCGAGGCCGTGACGCCGGTTCCTCAGACTCCCGCCGCTGTCGTTTCGGCGAGTCCGTCGTCCCGTTCGACACAATCTCGCCCGGCTCATGCTCCTCCTCTCGATCGTGCTTGCGCCCATTCACCTGTTGTCCCCCTTGACTATCTCTCCGTCCTGCATTTTGCGCAAAAACCCGCCTCGTCGAGTCCGTCGCCTCCTCCCCGTTCACCGGCGAGGGCGCAGGGGCATACTTCTGTCCTGGCTTCGGCAGCGGGTAATTGTCATATATCTCTGCCATGCGATTACACGCCCGCCGTACCTCTCTCACATCCACGTCGATCTGCTCCCACCACGGCCGGCCCAGCTCGTCGTCCGCAAACGCCGCGTCGCAGTGCATCGCGGCCGCATACAGCGCGCTCGCCGCTATCGTCCGCGCACTAAACTGCACACACAGCACCGTAAACGTCGAATCATTCACAAACGCCCAGGCAGAGTTGCGCAGCCGCTTGTCGTCCTGCACCTGAAAGAAACAGATGAAATCATACAGCAACCTGTACGGCTGTTCGAGCTGGAGATCGAAACACAGTGCTTCGAGCAGGAGGTCTTCGTTGTGCAGTATCGTGTCGCGCCATTTCCAAAACTCCTTCGACTGCTCGTCCACAATCACGTTGGGCTGTTTCAGCGCTACCCGGCAGCAGGCCACGATCAGCTCCTTCATCTTCCGGCAGTTCTCTTCCACTTTTGTTGCGAGGAATAGCGCGGTGGCCGCGATCGGGTAAGGGTGTCGTCCGGGCCTCTGCGGCAGGTCGACCATGCTGTACCGCATGAAGAACCGGTGCATGTACACGCTGGCCGTGCAGAGCGTGAGTTGTGGCAGCTTCAGCAGTATCCCCACCTGTGTGATGAAGTTCACCCCTTTGCTGCGTTGTGTGTGTTCTGTCTCCATCGACATGCCGTCCAGCAGCGAGGGCGTATATCGGAGGTCTGAGTCGGTGAACAGCCATTGTGCTTCTTTCGAGGCCAGCACAGGGTTAGACGGCGAGGGCACTGGTTTTGCTGGCGGTGGTGTGGGTGCTGTATATGCTGATGTTGATGCTGATGTTGACGCTGCCGGCGCTGGCGCTTCCTCCTTTCCAGAGGCTGCTGCCACCGACGGCACCGGCATGGCGAAGGCTTGACGACTTGCGCCGGTATCTCTCAGTGGCTGTCAGCTCGTATCTCAAGTAAAGTAGTTAGTATTCAGCTGTTATCAGCAGTGACTGGAGTGGTTGGTGGTATCCGACGAGATGCGCGCGAGGAAAGGTAGTTTGAGCTGCTAGTTTAACTGCCACTGCTGGGAAGGCAAGGAGGTCGCGGCCAGCGCTAGGTCAAGAGACGAAAGGACAGTCGGGCAGTATCAGCAAAGACAGGCCGACACCGACGGGTAGAAGCATCAAAGGAGGCTGTTGATCGTGAGCAGACGGCGTTGCATGATCCAAGATGTCTTTTCTGTCTTTTTAACTTGGAAGTTTTTTGGACTCGAGCGGAAAAATCGCTGTCATGTGATCAACACTCGCCGCGGCGGGCGCTTATTGACCAAAGAAGCGCGACAATAGGGAGAATTTGAGCGTTTGATATATTTGATATATTTGACATATTTGATGTATTTGATAGATGGGAGTAGTCAATAGTAGAAGAGAGTCAATAGATACAACACGCCCGTAGAAAACTCCAGAATTATCCCCATGGTATCATAACAGATGGTGCCTGCCCGGTAGAACCGCCCCCAAATACACAGTAGTAAAACGAAAATGATAGCTTGCTAAACAGTACTCCTTACTCAATCCAAGGGCAATGCAAATTCACTCTTCTTCGCTGACTTCACTCTCGTCTTCACTCTCGACATGGTTGGCGTACCGATGCTGCTGCTGCTGCTGCTGTTGCTGCTCCATCGCCAGTCTTGCCTCCTCCTCCCTGGCACTCTCTTCAAGCGCCGCCTCCATCTCGGCCACTAGATCGTCTTCAAAGTCCGCCGGCTCCTCGTCTCCGTCCGCATGATCCGCAGCCTGGGCATCTTCCATCGCCTCGTCTTTGTCTTCGTCTTCTTCCTCTTCCTCCTCCTCCTCTTCCTGCACTGGCCGTCTGCCAAAGAACGACGGTCGGGGCTCTTCTACATCTTCCTCATCATCGCTATTGTAGCCTGCCTCGTTGGCCGAGGTGTTGTTGGATGCAAAATGGCTAGGGTCGATCTTGAACGCCGGCCGTTGCGGTGGTGGGGAACCCATGTCGATGATCAGATCCCCATCCACGATGATGTTGCTGCCAGGTGACCCGGCCAGCCTCTTGGGCTCATCATCAGAAGCAGAGTAGGTTCCCACCAGATCGGGCGTCTCTACAGATGGAATGATGGTGTCCTCAACCAGCTCTGGCTTGGGCGGGAGTGCAAGAGCAACAACGGGTGGTGCAGCTGGTTCCTCCGGCTCCCTGGCCTTTGTAGAAGCATTATTCGCATTCCCGCTGCTGGTGTTGGCGCTGCTAGTAGTAGTAGTGGTGGTGGTGGAGGCGGTGGTAGTGGTTGTAGTAGCAGCGGACGACGCAGCCTTGGGATTCCGCTGTTTCGGAGGACGGAGCGGGTTGGCTTTACTCTTTGGTGCAGGTTTCGGCTTGGGCTTTGGTTTTGCTTTGGCAGCTGCAGGAGCTGCTGCTGGTACTTGTGCTGCCGGCACTGATCGGGGTGCTGCAGGTCTGCTGCTGCTCGCGGCCTGGTGAGGATCTGGAGTGCCGGGCGCTGAGCTGGCTTCCACGGCATTCTGTTTGCTGCCGGCACCGCTACCGCTGCTCTGCTCCGCCTTCTTCTTGGGCAGAAAGTGTCTGTAGTCATAAGGATTCTCTTCATCCGCTGGTCCTACATCCTCTTCTTCGCTCTCGTTCTCCCCCTGTTTATCTCCCGCAGCCTGATCGTTGTTGGAAAAAGAAGTGCTCAATTGGGGGTATTGCTCCGAAACCTGTCGGTCCGTCTTCCCCGGCGCCGATTTCAGGTTGAAGTTCAATCTGGTCGACACCGGTTCAAGGATGAACGCCTTGCGTTTTGGGTCAAATATCAGGACCAAGTTGCTGGTCTCGGACTTTGAAGCGGTCGACGATGACGATTCAGGCTCGACGCCACCGCTGTAGACATAGGTCAGGTCTGTCTGCTCTGCATTGCCTGCCTTGCTCTGTATCGTCAACTTGTACCGGTCTGGGGCTCCGGCCGGGTAGATGGTCGTCTTCTGTTGCGGTGTGTTGCCCTTGCTCTTGTAGTTGTATGTCACATTCACAAACTGGCGGCTTCGTGCATTATCCCTCCCCGCCAGCTTGTCCCCCAGGAGTATAGGATATTCGCCTGGCCGGGTAGGGTCGACCATCTGCGCCCCGTTCAGGTTCGGGGTCTGCGGTGCTGAGATGGTAGCCATGGTGTTCGCTCGGCTGGCTGGCTGGTTGGCTGTAAGGGCGTTCGTTCGGCTGAGATTCGACAACAATAACTCGACCGGTGCGACTGCGACACGCCGAATACGCTGGACACAGTGATGGAGTTCGACCTGAGTGCTGGCAATCGAGCGAAGAAGCGAAGGACAGAGGGCTCTTGAGCTGCTGAGTTATGTCCCCAGTTTCTTGAAATACCCGGGCGGCCGGCGAGGCTGCTGAAAGAGAGGGATGGAGCCCTTATGAATAAGGCATTATTATTAGAGCAAACAGGCCAGCAACAATGGGGAGCAGCGAGAGTCAGCGCAGGTTAATGGGCCCCGTTTATTGTTTTTATCCTGCCCGCAGCCGGCGGCTCTCTCGTCGTCGTCGTCTTCGTCTTTCTTGTCCTTCTTCTTGTTCTTCTTCTTCTTGTTGCTGCGAAGAAAAAAGGTGGGAGGAAAAAGGAATGCGCCAGTTTGGTGAAACAAGAAAAAACGGATGACCAGCACGAATGGGACGAGCGCCGGCAAGGGCTGATGCGAGATGCAGCTACGCAGGCATGGGCAAGGCGCCGAGCATGCAGGACGCCTCTCCAGGCCTTTTTACGCTTGTAGAGGACGGAGTAAGGGCTTGGGACAAGTGAAGTTATAGGCATGGCCTCGTCAGGTAGTAGTATTCTCTTCTATCCGTGGTAAATAAATATAGTAACTATAGTTATAGACCTCTCTCTCTCTCTATCTCTCTCTCTATCCAGTCTGGCCAGCCGCAAGAAGAGCGCTTTCACTTTGATGGAGAAGATCCCTTTGCCCCGGCACCCCCAGCAGCTTCACTGCCGGCCGTCAACAGGTCTAGACGCTCTGCCAGGATGCGGTGCTTGCGGATGGCCTCCTCCCACTCCGGCACTGCTTCGGTTTCGTCTCCGTCCTCGTCGTCTTGGTCCGTTCCCCCGGTTGTACTCAAGAGGGAGAGCATCATGGTAAAGTCTCCCCCCAGTCGGCCCAGACTGGCGGCGCAGTAGAGTACTTGGGTGAGCAGGCTCTCTCGCGAACTCTTGTCCCTCACATTCGGCAGGTATTCCTCCAGCGTCTCGGCCAGGAGCTGTGCCAGATGCATGGGGAACGTAGCCAGTGCTGGGGGCAGCTGGGATAGCATCGATGCCTCGGACAGCTCTTCCTCCTCCGTTTCTTGCTGTTTGGTAGCTGGGTCTAAAGTCCCAGGCGCGAATATGTTCTTATACAAAGACACAATAGCAAAGCTTTGCTCTCGGTATATTTCAATATATTTCTTCAAAAACCGTTCTGTTTGCTGCCCACCAGACCATGTATTATTATTCTTCGATCCCTCGCTGGTTTCCCCCTTGGTGGTATTCTGTCGTCTCCGGAGGGTCTCTTGATCTGCCAGTTCCCGCAGTGGCTCAAGGGCACTTAGCATGTTCAAAAGGTTCGCCAGACGGCAGACGAGGAACAAAGCACCATAGGCACCTTCACTCGTACTACCACCGCTTGCGGACTTGGTACTCGATGGCTCTTCAAGATCCGGGGCAATACGCCGTAGCCACCCTATGATCCTCATTGCAGGTGCCAGCCTAATGTTCTGTACTCTGAGATCAGAGATCAAATTGGTAGTCATATCTTTCATAGCATCTTCGGCCTGATTTGTTATATCCCTGGCCAGCGGCGACTCGGGATATAGTGTCTGTAGTCTCTTTATATGGGCAAACAAGTCCAGTGCAGCCGAGTAATTGGACGTACTCGACAGGCTGCTTGAGGACAACGTCCCACCAGTGCCACTGCCAGCACCACTACCAGCACCAGCAGACGACGCTCCCGAGGAAGATGAGACGGCCGTAGAAAGCAGAGTTGGTAGCTCTAGGATATCAGATAGCCTGTCCACATTGCGGGCGAGCTGGAGCGCCTTCTTTCGCCTCTCCAGTATCTGGCTGTCCCCTGTCTTGCTGTACGTCGAAGAGAAGCGCACGGCTTCCTCGTCGAGCTTCGGTATGGCATCTCGGAGCCGTTGCGTCTCTCTGGCCAGCTGTGGGAGTGATTTCTGCAGTGACCGGTGGTTGTCTGCGGATGTGATGAAGGTCTTGTGGGATCTGTTGGCGAGCGCCTGGAGGGAAACGAGGTTCGAATGAGAGACCTGCGAGAGCGACTGAAGCTCCGTCGACGTCAATGAAGCTGTATCTAGCGTTGGTATGTGGTTGAGATACTGCGCTGTGGTCGAGCTCGTCGCGGGTGGTGGTGGTGGTGATGATAGTCGAGGAGAGCCTTCGGCGGCATCAAAGTGAGGGACGAGCAGCTCGTAGAGTGCGTCTGCCATTATCGAGACCGGCGCGGGCGTTCGTCAGTCCATCGATACGTATCATTCATGCAGATTCGGTGCAGGGTCCCCGGCAGCTTATTTCAAGAGGCCGTGACTGACTTGCTGTGGTAAATATGTCCGTCTGCTTCTGCCTGTGACGCTTGATGTGCCGATTTAGTTCCTAGCAGTTTTATGAAGCTTTGAGATAATCCGAGAGTTTTCAACGGCTTCAACCCCAGAACCCCAGACCAGACCCTGTTTCATGTTATATCCTTACAAACACCGGAGCTATCCTGGATACAGCTATATAAATATTTGATGCTTAGCTTCTCGGTTGGTCTGGAGGAAGTATCTGGGATTTTTGTGAACGTCTCTAGGTCGCACTTGGGCGGAGGATCATCATGGGCAAGCCACGAGTCAGTACGGAGAAGACGCCTCTACTCTATATCGAAGAATACAAGAAGCTGACAGCTCTATCTACGTCAGTTAATCATCCTGATCCGGCATGGACAGTCAGAAGGGAACAAGAATCGGGAGATCCATCAGACAGTCCCTGACCATCGCATCAAGCTTACTCCCGAAGGCCATCGCCAGGCACTCGAAGCCGGCCGCAGGCTGCGGGAGATGCTACGGCCCGATGACAAGATACACTTCTTCACATCTCCATACCAGCGGACGAGAGAGACTACAGAGGGAATCCTCAAATCTCTCACTTCCGATGACCCTTCGCCGTCACCGTTCCCCCGCCAGGGCATCCAAGTATACGAAGAGCCACGGCTGAGAGAGCAGGACTTTGGCAATTTCCAACCATGCTCTGACGAGATGGAGCGCATGTGGCAGGAGCGTGCAGACTATGGGCATTTCTTCTACCGTATTCCCAACGGGGAGTCGGCGGCGGATGCCTACGATCGAGTGAGTGGCTTCAACGAGTCTCTATGGCGGTTATTTGGAGATGACGACTTTGCCAGCGTCTGCGTGCTGGTCACCCATGGCCTCATGACTCGCATTTTCTTAATGAAGTGGTATCATTTCAGTGTTGAATACTTTGAGGATCTCCGGAATATCAATCATTGCGAGTTTGTGGTTATGCAGAAGAACCCGGACAACGGGAAATACATTCTACGAAACAAGCTGCGGACGTGGTCTGAGCTGAAAAAGGAGAGAGAAAGGGAGCGTGAAGCTAATAACATGCCGTTAACATCTCCCATAAGCCCGAGGAGAGTATGGGGTGGATGTCCAGATGGGTGTGATCATGCTCGTCACAAGCACCGAGTAACTAAGAGGCTACTGCACCAGAGTACTTCAACAACCGGACTGGTGACTGGAGGCGAGAAGACCGGCAGCACGGAGAAAGAAATGGAACTAGATGACCGATACCAGAATGACGATGGAGATGAAGAAGAGGATCAAGATGAAGGGGACTCCGCGCTGGCGGAGCTGTGTGACCAGCCGGTTCTACAGATCAAGTCCACTGTCTCGACGAGTCAAGGAGCCAGAGCAGACAAGACCCCTCGCACCGTAGAGGTACCACATCTAGGCGGTCGAGATGCTGGAGGCTCAAATAGTGGTGTATCAACAGGCCACACATCACCCTCACCAGAGAAGCATGCCGGCTCTTCAGCCCCGACTAACAATGGCGATGGAAACGTTCGCCAGGGATCCGGCCTGAAGTATACCCACCAGCGTGATTTTGATAGAGATGACGACTATCCTAATGAAGACGATGAGGATTCAGAAGATGAACGTGCTAGGCTCGAAGAACAGAGCGTCCAGGGAAGTGTATACTAGTATGCGCTCCCAGCCCAAGAATTTGTTTTGAGGTCTTTAACCGATATACCCTGTGATATAGATTTCTTGTTACATATATTCAGCTATGGAACCTAGCAATAGGAGCAGAATGTCTTTTTGATAGAGCTTAAAACGGTCCTTCAGCTCCTTAGTAGGGAGTATCATATCCTAGTTTGACAACTCATACCAGAACCAAGCCAGTAATAACGAGTATCAGCCATTAAGACACACATTATCGGACCAAGGTCTTCCTATCGATACCGCTTAATTTCTCGCAGGATATTCAACATCCCCCCTGGCCACCACCGCCCCCTTTCTTCTTCAGGCCATAGGATAGTCACAAAATTGTTCCCAAATCTGTTCACCATCCCAGAAAGGGTGACAAACGGCAGATTTCCAATCCACCATGACTCTTCCTCTACCAAAAACATTAGGACTGACCAATGCGCATATATGTCCAGCGCAAGAGCTTGCTCCATCGTCAATCCTGTAGAAGTGTCATACAACTCTGCATCAACAGGACTCTCAAGTCTCTTGTCAAGGAGCGGGAGAACAAGATCTAGATATGCTTGAGGAACCTGGACAAGGAATGTAAGGAAGTACCGCGTCAATGGCTCCGTTGGCTGTGGGACCACGGACCGGTTTGCAAATGATCGAAGCCATGAGGCTACTTGTGGCAAGGACATACTCTGGGGTTCAAAAAGGTCTTGAGAGACGTCGTCAAGTGGTGAGAACGAAGATGGAGAGGGCTTTGATGAATAGTGGGAGGAGAATGCATTGCTTCTGATATCCTTTAATATGTCGAAAGCAGCACCACAGGCAGCTAATGTGCCGTCGGCATCATTGCAGTGATATAACGCGTAATCCAAGCGTTTCTGGAGTTTTGAATAGGCCTCTTCGCTGGTTGACGAGATTATTGGGCCCATTGTATGGTTACATGGTGTACCTATACCTGATGCCCTGGTTCTGGCTTCCGGCAGTATCAAATGATCATCTGATCCTGGGTCCGTTATGGGAGACGGTGCAATCCCTGACACTGGACTTTCACAGTCCAGGGTTTGGAGAGTGGCTCTTATTCCTCGCATAATAACTATTATATCCCTCGGTGTGGATGAAAGCGGTTTTTGAGGTTCCTCTACTCGTCCCTTTTCTGATAGCCAGTGGTTTATCTGTTGACTTGCAGTAGCAAAAGGAACCAGCATCAAAGCGCTGGCTAACAGTGGCTCCAGCTTCAACGTATCCAAGGAGGACATTGACTCCCTCATCCGTTCACTTGCTGAATGATAATGCCGGTAACCCGTTACCAGGGCCTGTTTAACTGCGCCCACCTCGGCAGGAGGTTTTCTGGATATCATATCGCATGCTAGGCACGCTGCAGACGCCGCCAGGACAGAGTGAAAGACGGTTCTGCTCTGCAGGGCCAATGTTGGTATGCCGATCTGCAGTGCACTTTGGTCATTTTTGCTATACGTCAAGGTCCGGCTGGTATGTTGTAGGTAGTGGTGGTATAAGTCAGTGTCTGATAATTCACCCGGGGTATCCGTGGAAGGGGAGAAAGTTCTTGCTTCAGTGGCTGAACGTGTTGATGGGGACCGCTCCTGGTATGAAGAAACACTTGGTGAGGGTGATAGAGTGCCCCGGGATGGGCTAGGTACAGACAATTCGTCTCTTGGGGCTTTTTTGCCTGGCGTGAATGTTTCTGGGTAGACGCATTTGTAGAAACCAGAGACACATCGTACACATGCCGGCTTCTCCTCGTCACACTAAGGCAATGTGTCAATTCCCTGTTCTATTAATGATGTGCGTGTAAAGCCTGCTTACTTTTATTCTTCGCCGCTTGCACTCGAAACACCCGTTTCTTGACTTCTGGTGGCGCCTCCTTGTCTTTCTTTGGCCATGGTTTTCAGGGGTTGGCATTTTAGTTATCGCCCTTCCAATTGCTGGACGTCACAACTCCAATAGGAAAGGGTATATATTATGTATCCTCCAGAACTACTCCATACACCACGGGAGACAAGTGACCGCATTTAAATGCAGTCAACCGTGAGGCTGATATAGGCATCCTCGAAAAAACGGTGCATCTTCCCGTCCCTGAGCTGGCCCTCAGTTATTGGGCCATTAGGCCTGCCTTGGCACCTGAAGAGTCCTGCGGATGTTCATCCATGCTCAGCCTCATTGAATTCCAAATACAAAGGCTAAAGCCACGAGTCTGAGGGCGCGATGCAAGGGAAATCCACATGGGCGGCCTGCTCCAGGCCCAGTCTGAGGTCATGAAGAGGGCGAAATACCCCGTGTTTAAGGTAAGAATATCGCGTGGAAGACCTGTGACGGTGACGAAGCCATGTGGTCCAAAAGACAGAAATCCCGGTTCAGCCGGTGGAAATCCAGGTAAAGTTGTGGGATACTGCTGCCTGAGGATCAGGGAAAGTTTGGTATCCAGCCAAGTATTTGTCACTTTGCTTTCGAGAAACGTACTGTAGAGAGTATCAGGTTTGGAGGCTGAAACTCCGGGGCTGAGGGCTGCTCCGTGCCACCCATGCTTGTCAACTCTATATCTACTCTACTATATTCCGTACCTCCTTTACCCCTTGTTTTAGATGTTCCGGTTCTCTAACAGATAATGTATTAAGTTCTCTATCTAGTAATCTATCTCATATCGCGGGAAAGGCGTAGGCTATTCTATAACATAACCAAAAACAGTCGTGTATCCGGGGATTTTACAATGCTCTGTTGAAGGTGCCGCTGCTGACGGGCACAACTTTACAATCCATTCCTAGACAGGAAATCATAACTGATCTGGTAGCCGGCTGTAGCATTGTTGTGCAGGGTAAAAGCATGTCCAGTATTCGGCTGGATGGCAACCTCGATCTCAGAAGCCTGAGAATACGTCTTGCGTAGCTCTTTCATATCCGCAAGACCCTTGCAATCGCCACCGCAGATGTAGAAGTCGAACTCTGGCAACATGTATTGAATTGGGCCCTTGAAGTCAGGACCAGGTAGCCCAACAATATGGTATGCAGATGCAAACTCTCCAATCGGAACGGGCTGTTTGATAGCGTCCCCGTAATCAAGCATTTCCTTGGTGAAAGCGGTCTTGGTATCACCGGCGAAGAAGATGGTTTGGATACCACTCTTCTGGCACACGACGTAGCCACTTGGCCGGTTGAAAGGGGTAGAACTGGTGGGTGCGAACTGGGCGCTGAAGGAAGCCATGCCTGCTTTTCCGAGGTATTTGTTCAACAGGTAGCCCGTGATTATGGCTCCGTCGGAAAGAGAGCTGTGTTTGGCGATAAATGCAGAGGTAAGGAAGGATCCGAAGCTGTGACCGACATGGACTACCTTTTTCACTGGTTTGGCAGCCATGTTAAATGCAGCATTGGGAGGGACGGCCTTCCCGGCAAAGTCGTATAAAGTACCGTTGCGAGCCATAAGGGTCAACTGGCGGAGAATTTCGAGTTCCAGGGGAGCCTGAACAACATCGTATGCATCAGGTTTGTCAGATTTCCCAACTCCCAGGCGGTCGTAGGTGAGAATGGGATACCCTGCTCTTAGCGTAGCTTCTACATAGGACTGCTTCTCACGGTCCAGGGTTGGGTCCCAGTATCTCGAATCATAATGGACTCCATGGGTAGCAATGTGCAGGATATCGTTCTTTCCGCCTGAAACTTTGGGGACACACAGCTGCGCGTGGATTTTGAAGGTATCGGAGGTTGTGGTGTTTTTGATGATTCTGGCTGCGCCTGCAGGGGTGCTCCACGTATCGGAGTATATGGCCCAAGCTATGGCATCGACGTTGCTGTCCACTCTGGGTATATCGTAGATGGCGCTCTCTGAGGTAGCAAACACTGGGATATCCAATTCTTTGCAGTACCCGTGGTTGTGTTTGGATGTATGGACGGCTGCAGAGGAGACGCAGTGGGCAAGCAGCAAGCCGACAGTGGCAAAGGCGACAGCCATGATAGTAAACAGAAGGGTTCAAGTGAAGTACGTCAAGTAAACCTTTGAATATAGCTATTCAATGGATGAGAGGTGAAGAAGATGCTGAAGATGATTGTAATCGACCAGACATAGAAGAGGTAGTCTCTCATATACCTGCGATGAAGCAGCACTGCCTCGACATCAGCCCTCATGGAGGATGGCATTTTGATCCTAAGAACGCCGTATCTCATCTATACGACAGCCGAGTTGATATCGTAGATGTCTTCAGCTCCGTTGATCGTGTTGTGGCTGTTGAGCCTTCGAGAGTATTTGATATCTTCAAGCTTAACCAGGAACGTATTCACAATGCCAAGACCTCGTATAGCGGCTTGCAGGGGACGTATTCAGTGCGACAGGGGGCGTATTCCAAGGGGAGTAGCTTTATGAGGCTTCGGATGGTCCATCTTACTGGTGAATAGCATGAAGAATGGCGGCTATGGGGCTGAGACTGGCGATACACTCTCAAAAGCCCAGCATCTCAGCCATAAACAGGCCTCGTACCGCTTATGGTATACAAGGAAGAAACACAAATCTTCCGCGATGAACGACAAATTCTCCTCTGAAGTGCTTTTAGCATGTAGATATCCTCAGCACTGCCACTGGCATTGACGATGTCAGTCTCATCTCCGAGAAGTTCAGACGGGTATAAGTATATCTTCATTTTCCAGTCCTTATCCTACCATCATCATCACATCCAAAGTCCAAAAGGCATTAGCCAGACAGCAACCTACGCTTTAACCCCATCAAGCTCCTCAAACAAACACTTTTCGCATCTACAAATACCTTACCAACCCGCCAACAACCAACAAATAAACAAACAAACCACTTCACACCTCGCAAGAATGGCAGCCATTGTCCTTGCTCTCGGCGCCGCCATCTACATCACTGCCGAGAAGATCCAGGACCACCGAGAAAAGAAGCGCGCCTTGAAGGCCAAGAATGCCACGAAACAAGCCGTCCTTGAAGATGACGACAGTGTCATGGCCGCCGATGACCTCCCTGCGTACAAGACGGAGAAACCTCCAGCATATGATTTTGAGCAGTACCAGCAGCAGCAGCATCCGACACTTGCGTCCAGCAAACTCATGGAAAGTTCAAGCCAGCGGTATTACATCCAGGCGCGGTCCACCTGAAGGACCAAGCATTGTGTATATGACTGCGAGTATGAGTATATGACGGCAGAAGAGAAGGAGTATGCTTTGTTCACATGTTGGGTTATGCATTTCTGGCCTATCTTGTTTCCTTGGTTTATGTTTCCTTTTTCATGTTGCACTGGGGGTATATCCAATATCCATATAGATAGATAGATGGTTAATGGTGGTCTAGAATCTGAAGGAGTGTTCAACTTTTGCAACTTTCAACTCCTTTTGCCGCTGGCTTGAATCCGGTTGGTAAGAGCCAAAACGTAAGAATACGCGTTGTCATTGGCTATGGTTCGTGACAGAAATAACAAGTATCCAGCCAATCAGCAGAGGAAGAGTAATGGATATCACGTAATTCGACACACGTTCAAATACACACGCAAAAGTCATCTTAAAAGCCTCTTCTTGTATTTTTTGTTTATTCCGGTAGATGACGCTAAGTACAGCCGGTTTATCAAGATATCAAGCAGAAAAGAAAGGAGGTAAGGTTGAGCGGAACTTGGGAGCCCATCCATCTATCCATCCACCTCTATCCGAGCCGACGACAGGGGAGAGGGAGGTGAAATGAGAGCAAGAGACATCGGAAATTAGTATACGAGTGTATGAAGTATTTGAGTGGACTTTGAGTGGGCAGTAGGACAAGGGAGAGGGGGAAAAAAAACAAGATATCATTCATTCATTAGCCGAGCAAGAAGCAGAAGTAAAAGAAAGTGTGCAGGTATCAAGAGTGCAACTAAATATAAAGTAAAGTAAGGTGTATGTGGTATATTCATCTTTTTTGTTTCCATCTTAGTTCAAACCAAGCTCCGTTCAGGCAATCAAGCGAGACACACAGAAGTGAATAAAAGCAAGGGAAAAAATGGAGCCACTGAAGTAAGTAAAGAGTTGGTTAAAAAAATAAACTGGAGAAAAAAGGGGGGGATGGTGGATTAATAAGTTTTGTTTGCTTTCTTTCAAAGTTCGAGTAATGTAAGGTGGTGGTAAGTAGTAAGTTGAATGACACGAATAAAGCACAAGACAGGTAAATTAGCTGATGCAGGGACAGGGTAAGTGACAAGGGGTTGAGAAGGTATGAAGGGATGGGAGAAGAAGAGGAAGGACTCGAGACATTTGACAAATTGGCAGAGAAGACGCAAGAACGCAAGATGCACGCATAAGAAAGATATTTTAATTAACGAACCCCCCTTTGCCATCACCATGCAGGTAGATAAGAAAAAAAAGATGAACGAAATGGAAGTAGATATTAAAAGTGAGGAAACGAAAGCCCGCCAACCGAATACCAAAATTAAAAGAAAAGGAAGAAAAAAGGAATAAAGTAACCCATCGAGATAAGAGTGGAAGGAAGGAGAGCGAGATCGAAATTCTATGGCTTTTTGTTTGCAGTTTTTTTTGGATGATGATTTTTGTATTTCGGAGTTCGAGGTTATTCGCAATTTTGGGATTCGCGTCGAAGTCGGAAGATGAACTCGATGGCGAGAAACGAAGGGCAAACCCAGGCAAAAGTAAACCGGAAATCATGAAAGGAGAAGAAGGAAAAACAAGTTCAGGATCAGTCTTGCTGAAACCGAACCAAACCAGGGCAAGGCAGGGCGGATAAGGCAAAGTATGAAAGGGGGATCAAGTAGACGGATAGATTTTGAAACAGGTCGAGGGTTGACAGGTTTGTTTTTGGGATGATGGGGAAGGCGTGAAGGGTAAACAATTTTTCGGTGGTAGTGCTGGTGTGGAAGGTCGTGAACGTGAATTATAGCTGTTAAAGGGACAAAAGCAAGACAAAGCAAGAATGGGAATATTGCTGCAGAGAAAAGACAAAACGCCGAAGAGCCAGATATCGCAGTGCTAGAAGAAACGAAACGAAACGAAACGAAGCAAGACGAGACGAAACGTGACAAAAGGAAAGGAAAGGGAAATGTCTATGAGGGAGATAGCGAGAGAAGCGCCTCCAAATAACGATGCCCAAGTAAGAGTGATAAGGGGTAAAAAAAGGAAGACAACTGCGAGATGGGGAATAGCATAACAAGTAATGAAAGGGCAAGCAAGGCGTGGCAAATTAAAGAAAAAAAAAAAATGGAAAAATGGAAAAACAGCAAAAAAGGTCCAGTTCAAGGGGTATGGTTGTATATGTATGTCAAGTTCAAATCAAGTCAAGAGAAAAATCATCAATCATCCATCCGCGTAGAACGAAGTGAGAAAGTGTAAGTAAAGAAAGGAAGAAGTAAAAGGCATAAGGCTGAAGAATAAAGTCGAAAAGTCGGAAAGTCGAAAAAAGCCGAAGAATAATAGGCAACGTGAATCGTTACGTCGGAAAGAATTTTTTTGGGTGGAAAGTCGAAAGTCTAAACGGATCAAAAAAAAAAAGCGTTGTAACGAAACTTTTGGAATTAGTGTCAGAAGGAAAAAAGTGTTCATCCGGCAACAGGCTGCATTCCGAAAGAAGAGACGGGGAAGTAGAGATCATGGCTCTTTGCGCAGTAGAGACAGCCACATCCAGGGCCGTGACCCGTCCAGACATTCCCGTTGATGTTATTGTTGATTGGACTGAAGGCGTTGGCATACATTGGAGTATGAACGTAAGACGGTGGCTGGGAACGAGGAAGCGGCAATGGAAGAGCAGTAGGCCCGGGACGAGATGTTTGCTGTTGTTGCTGCTGCTGAGGGAGCCAAGTGGCGCAGTATGGCGGTGGAGCGTTGTATGGCCAGGCAGCATTTGAACCAGAACCACCGACAGAGTGGAAGTAATCTGGTGTGCTAGGCCCGGTGTGAGGGGCAGAAGGTGGTGAGTAGTCGGATGCAGCAAGAGGAGTGGTTGCAGCAGTGCTGGCGTTGCTGGTTGGCAGCCAGGGGCAAGCACTGCGCTGGTACTGTGGTGGAATGGGGCCGTCGGGCGAAAGCATGGCCTTGGGAAGCGCGCTGTGGTGACCGCTACCGTGATGGTAGAGTGGATGACGACGGTGGATGATGTTTGTGTCAATGGGGGCGAGCTTCGCACGGGATTCGTTGGATGAGGCTGCGACCGCCGCCGCCGCAGCGGCACGGGCATCAGCCTTGGCTCTCCAGCTATCCCAGTGAGCCTTCCAGGACATGAATCCGTCATTCTTGGTGTGTATACGCTCGTGGATCTTCCACTCGAAGCCAAAGAGCCACTCAAGCTCCATGGAGTTGAGATCTGCGACGGGGATGCTGCTGACTTCAGCCCAGGAGCGGTTCTGGAAGGTGTTGTCGTCGAGGAACTTGCTGCCGAGCAGGAGGCCGGTAGTGAGCATACGGTAGACCTGGGTGGTAGCAGGTGTAGACGAAGACGATGTCTTGACAGCAGTCGGGTAGACGTCGGCGGAGGATAGCATCCTCATGCGAGAGGCCAGATAGTAGAGGCCGAGGAGGATGGTGGAGCTAGGCAGACGCGTAGACGAAAGGATCTGAGAGACGTATTTGCGGAACTGCGAGGGAGGCGTGGTTCCTGGGTGGACGCTTCGGAGCATGTCAATATCTGCAAGCACTAGCTTAGACTGGTAGAGAGCATACATTCCATGGGCCATCTCGGCCACGAAGTCGGTCATCTGGTCCATGTCGTAGTCTAGATGAGCCGCCACGCCGCCTGTGGTCTTTTGTTCCTTTGCCTGCTGCTGCTGTTGCTGCTGCTGTTGATGGTGTTGTTGCTGTTGCTGCTTTCGCTGCTGGTGTTGATGCTGGAGGTGCTGCTGGATATGGTGCTGGTCCTGATGGATCATGGGATCATGACGACGGTACCGAGGAGGCACCGCACTGTCCATAGGAGCCAACTTGCTTCCATGCATCGCCATGAGCCCATGGTGACCATGGCCCAGACCAAGACCGAGGCCGTGAGCGAGAGGATTGTTGTAGAGCATCTGCTGAGCCATCAACTGCTGCTTTCCAGAACTGTTCTTGTGGTTGAGATCGCCTCTGCCGTGGTAAGGGTTGGGGTAGGTAGGCTGGTACTTTTCATACTCAGCTCCGGCCCCGTACCTGCCAAAGGCAAAGCCGGCATGTCCGCCGGTGGTAGCACTAGCACCAGCACTGGCGTAGAACGAAGGGTCGGTCTCGATGCGAGGAGCGACGTTGGTGTGTGGCGGAGTTGGCGGGAAGGTGTTCAACCCCCCGGACGCGAAGAAAGACGGCATAATGGGCGAAGAAGTGGTCGACGCGAGCAAGGCAGCAGTCCACAACGGAGATGCTGCCTCTGACTGGCTATCTGAATCTAGCCAGTCGTGGTAACCCTTTTACCTTTTTTTTCCCTCTCTCTCCTCCTGTGTCCTTGATGGATGTACTATCCCGTCAAGCAAAAAGAAAAAGAGACCGGTCTCAGATGGGAGTCGTGTCTTTGCTCTTGTCTCGCTCTCTTCTCTCCCGACCCCGGACGGGCCTTGTCCCAACAAGGACCACTGGCTGGGTTGAAACGGTCGACCCTTCACCCTCTAGTATGACATTTGGGGAGATAAGAAGCAGCAGATTCCAGCCTATGAGGGAGAAAACCGATCAGGGGCGTCAGATGATTGAGCCGGATGAGTAAAAAGAGTGGCAGTCGAACAGTCGTTGGTTCAACCAGAAAGTAGAAAATAAAATATACTAGAAAAAAAATGTAGGAGCAACGGAAAAAAAAAGGGTAGAGCAAAGAGAAGCCGATAAAGAAGAACGAGGCGCTTCGCGGTATTAAAATGAACCAAGGAGGGAGGAACGAGACTTAGTGAAAAGCTCGTTGGTGGTTGCGGTTGTGGTGGTTGTAGATGGTGATGGCGGTCGTCTGGGAGGTCGACGGCGAACGCCAGCGAAAAGAGACGGCAAAAAAGAGAAGAATGAAACACCGACCAAGGACGAACAGCAGGACACGAACACTATGAGCAGAGCTGAAGGGCGTCAGCAGTGCTGGTGGTGAAGGGGGGAGCTGGTGTTGGTGTGTTTGGTGGTGTGTGGTGGATGGTTGAGAAGATGGTGAGGATGGAGGTTGGAGGTTGGAGGTTGGAGGTTGAAGGAGAGGAGGAAGAGGAGGAGGAAGAGAAAAGGGAAGACGGCGAGAAGAGGCAGAATAACGAAGGTGGAAAAAGGGCTGTAAAGCTGGTACAAGGGCCTTGCTTGGTACTGTAATTATTAGTCAGCAAGGAAGGTAAGAAAAAAAAAGAGCGCAAGGGCAAAGGAAAAAAAAAGGCGCGAAAAAAGGCAAAAAAGCGAAAAAAGCGGAAAAAAAGGCGAGCGTCAGGTGAGCAAGAAGAAAAGGAAGAAAAGGAAGGGAAAAGTCAACCTTTTTCCTGACAGCTTGTAAAGTTACGGTAAGTTCCATACGAGAGTTAGAAGAAGACGAAGAGCCGAGGGGAGAGACAGGGCAGTGCAGCTCCTCTGACACACCCTGAACTGCTGTTCATACGCGTTAATGCTGCTGCCTACTGTGTGATCTTCTTTACTGCGCCGACAGGAGGAGGAGGATGAGTCTGTGTCTTCTAGTCTGTGTCTTCTAGTCTGGTTTCGATGGCTTTTCTGCTCTGCTTCTGCTTCTTTTCTCTTCTTCCGCTTCGTCCGCCGGATGAGTTAGAGTTATAGATGACTAAGCAATTAGGGTTACCCGGACGACGGCCGATAGAAGAGAGAGACCGCAAGTAGACGAAAGACGAGATGATACATAGATGACTACTACTATTAAAGGGCGAGAGGATGAAGATGATGGTAAAATTCATTAGTGTACACATGGATAGACAGCCTTCCAGGGAGAGAGAAGCAGAGAGAGAGAGAGGAGGGGGCCCCCTCTTGGAGATAGATGACCGAGCAGGAAAGAGGAGAGCGGGAGCAAGACGGTGCAGAGGATAGGGCGTGCAGGAGAAGCAGAGGCAGATGCAGATGCAGATGCATGCATGCAGGCCACAAGTTGGGACCAGGATGTCAGTCAGTCAGTACGGAGAAAGTAGGATGACGTTCGAGGAGGGCGGGGAGTCATAGAGCTGAAAATGACTAATAGCAAGTTGAGAGGGAGAGAAGGCAGGAGGTCACCAGGCCTGCCTCTGCCTCTGCCTCTTGTCACTCACTCCCTTTGCCTCTCTTTCCATTTGACTTCTTCGCCTGCATGAAGAGTCAAGTCAAGGTCGAGAGTTAAAGGCGCAGGCGGGCGGGAGTGCAAGGGGGGAGGGGGAGGACAGCAAAAGGGAAGGCCGTTTTTTGTCATCACATACAGGAAACAAAAAGGAAGAAAAGAAACATTGTATAAGAAGGTTTTTAAACCCTCGGAAACCGGGCCCTGGTCGCCGACAACTCCGTACCCTTGCAGAATAGACAACACAGATTGTTAGAAAGACAGCAAAAAAGATGGCAGCAAAAAGGTAAAAGGGAAGGCGGGAGAACACGGTTAGGGGGTCCAGGAGAAGTTCATGGCAAGGTTGGCTCTGGCGCCGTCGACTCTCTCGCCTTTCCACTTGTTCTTCCACTGCCACTCCCGAGCTGCGGCGTCGAGGTAGGCTTGTCGACAGTCCTCCGGTAGCTCGGCCAGTACCTCCGGCGTCATCTTGAAGTTGATTCCTTCAGAGCCACCGTCGTGGTCGTTGCTGCTGGCTTCGTTATCTAGTGAGATCAGTCCGTTGGAGCCGAGGTCGTAGTAGTCCCCGTCTGGTCCGGGGATGAGGTTGAGAGATGAGTTGGGTGCGGACTCATATGCGATGTCATGGATGCGGAAGTTGCGGCTGAAGATGCCTCGGACTGATGGAAAGATAGTAGTCGATGTAGAGGATGAGGAGGAGTCTTCAGATGGCTCGATTTGCTCCCAGCGTGCGTGGGTTGGCTGCATCGTCTTGGGATACATCATCAAGTTGGTGTGGATGTCATACACGCCGTTGATGTTTTCTCGCCGTAGACTCGCCAGTTCAGAGTTGAAGCGACTGCGAGCTGTTAGTACAACAAATGGATCAACGCAGTCTATAGGGAAAGCAAGGACAGAAGACATACCTAGCTTCACGGGCATGCTGGACCATCCAGTTGTCCCCCGTAACCACAATCTTCCTCTTCTTGCTCTCCACGGCCTTGCTGACTGGCATAGGCACCGAAGGCACCCCTGAGTGATACACACTGCTTGCCCCATGCCAGGCAACATACTGGTTCTTGTTATACTTCTCCCCGGGAGCGGGCAATCTATCCTCAGGTACGGCTAATTCGCCCTCTACATCTCCTCTGTCCCTTGCCTCCTGGGCATGGTAGTCATCCACAACCTTCCGACCACCAATGATGATGCGCGCGCCAAATTCGCGAAAGACAGACCGCGCGGTCACGATGCCGATTGCTCGGCCTTTGTACGAATGAGGGATGATGTCTCGTTCGATAAGGTCGCGCTTGGCTTCGTCGTCGATAATGATCTTGTAGAGCAGCCTGTGCTTCTGGAAGAAGAGGTAGGAGTCTCGAAAGCCAATACACCGCGCTGGCTCCGTAGAGAGCATGTATTGCCTATCCCCTCTATCGAGCACTTTGAAGGTGCGTACGCGGAACTCCCGGCCACCCAGCAGATTGCCTAACTTGTCGACCTTGGTCTCTCCCTCCGGGTCTTCGGGCAAGTCAACCTCATCATCAACGACCTCTAGAACGTTCCCGTCCTTGTCCAAAGGCAAGTGTGAGACATGCGCCGAGCTGCCGCGCGACTTGGGGCCCCAACGACCAACTCCTCCTCCTCCTGCTCCTGTGCCGCCACTGCTACCGCCTGCTCCGCCGCCATAAGGCCGGCCTCGTCCCCGGCCACGCTTGACTGGTGTATTCGCGCCAGACCGCGCTCCCGGTGTATCTGGAGTGCCTGTCCTGCCTGTTCCTGTTGGCGTTCCTGTGCCTTCATCTGCGTCCCAGTCGGCTGGTTTGTTCTTTGGAGGACGACCAATGCGCCGCCGTCGTGGGGGCCGCCCGAGCATGCTGCTGCCGCCTCGTCCCGCCGTGCTGGAAGGCCGAGACGGTGAATCCTGTGCGACTCCTTCAGACTCGTTGTCTGCGGTGGGTGTCATCCCTTCTTCGCCCTCAATAGGTGTCCTCGGCGTGTCTCTCTCGTCCTCGTCGACTTCTTCGTCTTCCGCAACTTCCTCGCCTTCGCCTTCACCTTCTCCCTCGGCGTCGTCATCTGCTTCATCTTCGCGAGTATCCTTTTGAGGCGAGGCCACGCCTGTCATCTCTGTGTCAGACTCTTCTAGCTGCTGCGGCGTGGATTCTATCTCCATGTTAGCTCTTTGCCCATTGACTATCTAACCGCGTCGTCTACTTACTGAGCGAAGCGGCAGCCGCCCTTGCAGCCGCCCTGACTTTTCGGGCCATGCTCTTGGAGATCGAGGCTCCAGTGAGCGATAGAATATAGGTCTTTCAATGGTGAGAGCTACTATATATCTTTCTCTCTCTCTCTTTCTTTTTTACTCTCTTCTTCTCTTCGTCTTATTCTTTATCTTCATTTTGCAACATCGTCAAGCTTTAACTTTTGTGCACGTGATATCACATGATTTAGCTTAATCAGCAGAGAGCACGTGTCAGAAAGTATCTACAGAGAGCTGATAGAGAGATGGAAGCCATTAAGAAGAAACAGACGATGAAGTAGATGAAGAAGTACGGAGTAGGCGAAGATGAATATGATAAAGGATGTTGAAGACGATGGCAGCGATGGCAATGACGATAGAAGCGGTAATAGTAGGCTCTAGAAGTGCGGAGTACTCCGTATAGTTGGTAGAAACAGGCAGCTGGCACCCTTTGGGACTACAAGGTAGAGTCTACGCCTACCCACCGCAAGAATCACCACATCCCGACTGAGCTCCATCGGCACATCCGATCAACGTGGAAGTGGACGGCGGACGGAGTAACTGCCGAGAGCTCCCACCTTAGTCAGAGAGGCGAAAAAGGATTGTTCAGCGGCAATAATGGCCACAGACAGGGGGAATAAAAGAGACTCCAGCAGAGCCATGGAAAGGACGACGTTCATCTCTCGGCGACCTCGTCCCATGGAAACCAAACGGCCAAACGGGTGTGCGACTTTCTCCCGGGCCTCTCATCGTCCAGGGCAAGGCCTCTCTTTCTCCATGCCGAAGGGGAAGCTTGCGGGCCAGGCACTCTCGTCTTAGTCATGGGCTCTTGTTTGTACTGCGATGTACTTACCATATCCCTCTGGTGGGACAGACACTCGACCTTGATGCATCTCACCTTCGTCTCGCCTCAAGTGCCGGCCAATCCACCGTCTTGCCTTGAGCATCTTCTCCGTTTTCCCTTTTTCCTTTTTCCTTTCTTCTTTGCTTTCCCCCTCCTTTGCTTTGCATTGCTTTCTTCCCTGGGACTCGAACCCCGCGGTGTGTTATTCAGCTCGGTTTGTAGATACCGTACCGTATTTGAAGTGACTTCCCATGTACCCGTTGTGACTTGCAGGTGTCGACTGCATGCATGCATGCATGTATGTATACCATGATGTAACCAGCTAAACCTCAGAGTTTTGCTTCTTTCAGGCAGAGATCAGACAGAGATCGAAGCAAGCAGACATGAAGGACGCCCGGGAGATCGAGACGGAAGCAGCTGCATGGACGGCCGAGTTCGGCAGTTGGTCAGTGACACCCGCGAGGACTCGGGGAAAAAGAGAGGACAGCGACGATGAGAGAGACAGTCGAGATGACCGTTTCACGAGCTGAGCCGTCATCGTCACCGTCATCGTTCGTCTTCTTCGTCTGTCGTGGATGGCCCTCTCTCTCTTCTACTGCTTTCTGCTCTCTCCTGGACGGCCTGGTGATGTCTGATGCCCGGCTGCCAGTGGTTGCACAGCTCGGAGGCGAGCTAGATCATCCGACTGTTTTCTTCTCTTCTGCTGCTAACTTCTCTGGCTCTTCTGCCTCTTCGATGTATATTTTTATCTGCAGGTATGACTGCCTGGTGCAACGCTTGTCTCCTGAGGCTGGCTCTCTTGACCCTTTCTAGTAAATCCTCGTTAGCCGTAGCTGTAGCAAAAGCCCTTCTCTTTTATCTTTGATATCCTCGTAGTGTCTTCTCTCTCTCCCTCTCTCTTCCTCCCACCTTCAACCCTCACCTTGACCTCATCTTCAAACGTCAACTTTGCCTGACATCGTCCTGTCTGTGGATCAGGTCCCATCGACTGTCCTCCACCACGGCGGACCTCCTTTGCCGCCTGTCTCTGCTGGCTCCGTCTCCTCCTCTGGGTCCGAAACACTAACCATCAAAATAAGAAGGAGAAGAAGAAGCAGCCAGAAGGAAATAAGAATAGGAAGCTAGCTATCCGTCGCCGTCGCCGTCGCCGTCCTCTCCTGTCCTCTCCTCTCCTATATCTATATATATTAAAAAAGAGAGAGAGACTTCCGCCTTTGGTTACCTAACCTTCTTTTTTTTCCCCCTTCTCCCTCTTTGCTTTCACCCACCAAAATATTTTTCCTTCCCTCCTCTCTTCGTCTACTTCGCTACATCTTCAGCTCTACCTCTGGCTACATCCTCCACTACGCCGACTCCAGCTGCTCGACTAGGGCCTGTCTGGCGGTCTGAAGTTGCTTTGCTGTCGAACAGGTTCAGCCCCCCCTTTTGCCCTTCGCCACCGCTTGCATCCTGCGCTGCGCTGCTGCTGGCCTTGCTGCCAATCACCACCACCCCTCCCAGCCCCGGACCAGCGCCCGCGCCCCCCCGGACGACGTCAGCGAGAAAGTCGACCTGACCAGCAGCGAGACAGCGACAGCAGACACCGAGACAGAAGCAGCTCAGTAACAGGGAAGAAAACAGAGGGAAGAGCACAGAGAGCGTGCTCGTGGATGGACACCAGCTAGCCCGCACGAAGAGGACATGGCGGAGTTTGGAGGAGTGAATGCCCATGCCCACGCAGACCTGTTGCGGCAAGCGATGCTTCAGAAGTGAGTCCCGCTCTTTATATCGTGTCTGTATTATTATTATTGTTGTTATTCTTCTTCTTCGTTTCTCCCGCCCCCTCTACTGCCCCCTTTGTACCTCTTGTCCAACGGTCGTAACGGTGACCGCCGTCGGCTGTACACTTGGCTGCCCTT